ACACACACACTCAGACACACACACTCAGACACACACACTCAGACACACACACTCAGACACACACTCTCAGACACACACCGTCTTACTTCGACTCCAGTACGGTGATGAAAGGTGTCCGACTGAGGGGCTGCAGCTGCACTGCATCTGAAAGAAGAACAACCCACGATGTGAGGTTTCCTTCATCACTATGATCGTCACCGTAATAAAGTCGCAGAGGTGAGAGGAGACAAATGAAATATTAATTAGTTGTCATGTGGTGTTAAATTATAGATCATCACAACAAAGCACGTACGCACTGTTTCTAATTCAGGCAGCTTGTGTTCTCTGCACCGACAAGAGGAAGTCGTCCTCACACGTATTCGTTTAATGACAAATCTAGAGCCAGAACAAAGACAGTCTCCACACGGTGTTTCGAATCAGCATCGGTGGAAAAGTGAGTTTAATGTTAACAAATCTCTCTCAGAGCTTCATGTGCCTGGATTTACATTTACTGACACAGCAGCTGATGTGATTAGAGCAAATCCCAGATTCCTGCAGAAAGACAAACGTGTGAAAGCTTCATTTTCCCGACGGAGCATTTAGAATTTGCTATAATGTCTTTTTTTGTGCGTGTGTGTGTAACTTCATCCCACACACACACACACACACACACACACAAACACACACAAGTCGTCCTCCCACTGACGCGATGACCTTCCCAGGCAACTGGAAGCAGCAGAGACACCCACCATCTTCCCTGGGAGGCTGAAAACTCATCTCTTGTTAAAGTACTTCACGTAACCCCAACAACTGAATGATGCCCTCGTCCACAAGCTGTAATGTCCTCTTATCTGGGAGCTAAAAAAAGTCTCCTATTTTATTTCCTTCTCCCCGTGCACCACACACACACACACACACGATCAGAGCAGGGTCACAGGGACATTATCTGAAACCAGGAACACTGAGACTAAACCTGTTTTTCTTTTTGTGACTCAAGACCATGATCACGTGGAATCGAACACAAACATGCAACGACTGAAGCTGCACATGTCTCCATCAGGGCCAAAGTGTCCCCTCACATTCTGCACCAAATCTGTCATGTTGCTTCGAGCACATTTGCAGCAGATGTAAAAAAAAAAATAAAGCACCAACTTTAAATCCACTAGATGCAGGTTTTTAATTGGATCAGCACCACAATGCTCATAGAAATCATCTTTCGGTAAATACGCCTCAGCAACATCCATGAAAACCATAGGAAGCGATAAAGGAAATTCCTTTTGTCCAGATCCACGCCAAAATGTGATGGGATTATTATTTCGTAGCTCGTCTCCCATCCCTCGGCTAAATTTCATGGAGATCCGATCAAACACCAACGAACTAAGAAATGAAAAAGAGGTGAAACCTCCTTGATGAGCGCAGGGGACGTTTTTTAAAAAGTCACCTGGTTCATTGTGATGAAACAACATCAGTCTGAGCTCCTGATCGATGATTCACATCCTTTAGTTCCTGTCTTTACATCTTCCACTGACCTCCGAGGCTCTGACGTGTTCCCGGCTCAAATCAAAAGGTAAATGGTTTAAATTTATCAGCTCGAACTTTTCATACGCTGCCTCCTCATGTCGGATATTCTCTGCTCATACATCCCATCGTTCAGCCCAAGGACATTTGGACATTTGGACATTTGGACAGGAGGAGCTCTAAATTCTGCAGGAACATCACATGGTGTCGTCGGTGTGAGTTCACTCCTTCACCTCCACAGTCCTCCAGTATCTGCTCAACCTGTCACATTCACATGCAGCTGAATTATGGAGAACGGAGGCGGAACAAGTGTTTGTACATTATTCCACTGAGTTGAGTTTCTTCACCCCTTCCCCCGCTGACCAGTAATTCACTCTCTAACTCTGCCACAGGGTGTTTGTCCTGGCTCCCTGTTGACCGGCTGTCATTTCAACGCTCAGGGTTTCTACTTAGGGAAAACATGCAGGGCAGCGAACCCAAGCTGCAAGTGCTTGTTCATTCAGATGGAAAAAAACATAATTAAAACGTGTGGACAGGATAAAAAAGTTTTTAGTTTTTATCTAATGCAAACTTTGTCTCATGTGAACTCCGTCCTTTTCTTTTTTCTTTGGTCGTTTAACTTCAAATGTAAGTTCAGTCGACTGGACGTCAGCTCTCGGCCTAAACATGCAAATAACCAGAGAATCACACCGATGAGATGTGGACTCACGATGACAGAGTGGTCGGTTTTTTAACTAATCAGTAACAAGAGCTCTGCGTCTCATTCACAGAGAGTGGGCTGATGAGAGGCTCCTGCTCAAAGAGCAATAACAATGAAATTGGTCCCGTTACCTTGATTGGAGCAGGACGCGGCTTCGTTAGGTGAATATCAACGATCGGCTCGTCTGTCGGGTGGAGTGAGGGATGGATGATGGACCGAATCTTAAACCCTCTATCTCCTCTCACCCCCCACCCACCCACCCCACCCCTCCAAACCACACACTCACCCACCACTCTCACCCTCCTACCTCCCTTCTCCTGTGACACTCCCCTCCCCGTCCCAGAGTTAAGGAGACCAGGTCAAATCTGAAGGATCTTGTGCTGATTAAGTTGATCTGATTTTGACATTGAAAAAAAGTTTATAAACAGAAAATGAATCAATTAAATCAATTTGAATTGATTAACCGAGAGCTGCAACTCCCCGAGCATCTTAATCATTGAGAAACGTGTCTATTATTATTAGAATTTGTGGCTTTTTAAACTTAAATAATGGATTAATTATGTTTCATTGAAGTCACTAATTAAGAAAAGGGTCTTGAAAAATTTTTGGACAATTTCACTGTTTGTCAGATAAAAACCAGCAACGCAATGATATGGACTTTGAATTTAGGATTGCTCACCGGCAGCAGAGCTGAGTCTGGGTCAACTGCTGCTATTTCCCACAGTGATGCTCTGACGACCATCATCACAAGTGAGAGTTTGAAGGGTTTCACCTGAAAAGACCCTGAAAATCAGCAGAGGAAAAGAGGTGAAGGCTTTTTTCCTCCACGTCAGGACAGGAGCGAGTTAGAGTCGAGAGGGAAAGATATGATTGAGTGGAGTGAAGGTGACTGGAGGTTTTTCCCCTTTTGCTAAATCAAAGAGGTGTTGAACTCAATACCAGAGCTGCACTCTACTCCTCTACAGCTGCTCCTCGCCGGACGAGGAGTGACTTTCTCAGAGGTCAACAGGCTGTTCAATACTCTGCCGCACAGGCTCAGGGGGCGACGGTGACACGTTCCAGCTGACGTCCTCCTGAACTCGGCTTCTCCAGGATTAACTACCTGTGTCACTCCAGAGGGACGAACATGAACTCCTGCAGCCGAGCAGAACAACAACGACAACAACAACAGAGCGATGAACAGTTGTGAAATCGTATCGTTTTCAAATTCTACACATTAATATGAGATGAGAGGAATATTTTCATCCTTTGGTGGTGATTTAAACTCTCAGGCACATTCTGTTTGTGCATTTAATGGCACAATAAATCTTCTTTGAGAGGGACGTCGGGTACGGAGGCTCAGAATTAGCTTTTTTTTTTTGGTCGTTAAAATTTCACGTTCGAAAGAAGCTGTTTGCATTGATAAACTAATCCCACTCACACGTATGAGCACGGAGGAGACTTTAGAATATTCCCTCAGAAATAAGACTGGGTATCAAATCTGCAGCATAGGCGACTGTGTTCATCGTAAAGAGAACTGAGAACTGTCAGGTGCAGAAAGTTGGCATTTAATGAGGCTGTGTGTGTGTGTGTGTGTGTGTGTGTGTGTGTGTGTGTGTTTGTGTGTGTGCGTGTCAGTGGATTAGCAAGTGATTAAGTTTTCTCTGCAGCAGAAGAGGAGACAAAGAAAAGCTGCAGCAATCCATTTAAGGCTTATGATATAGCTGCACGTATCTCCCTATACATTCCTGCCATGCTCACAATCACTTATACACACACACACACACACACACACACACAGACAGACACACACACTTCTCGTCCCTCAGATGTGATAGCTGACACCGGAGGCTTTTAATTCCAGTGTAAATACAAATACTCTCCCAGACAGCCATCAATTATGTATGATGCTAATTGAGTTGAATGTTGTGCTTTTAGCAGACCAGGGAGCCGGGGACCCTCATGCAGAGAGCCTGAAACCAAACACACACATATATATATGTAAAACAAAT